TTCAATCATGTTCATTGAGTCAATAATGATTTCGTTTTCAATTATTGAAGATTACTCATTTTGAATTTATGTTCCTTCGTCTGAGTTAGACATAAGCTGTTCAAATCTTCCTATAAATTGTCACTTCTCAATCGTGTTATTCGATTTTTCTCGATATTATCATGCTGAAAAGAGAGCCACTACAGATATTGTAAACACATCATCTGCTTCTCTGCAACTATAGTACATTTTGGTTTACATGTACAGGATGTTTCACAAATTGAAGCGATAAATGAAGTGGGTAAGAAAAGTCAAAAAACGACATGAAAGTACATTTGCGTCGAGTAAAAAAATCACATGGAACAGAATTGAATCTGGAAGTTTGTTGGGGATTTTGTAAATCATAGGTGATAGGTCTATACCGAATCCAAGCATTTGCTTTCGATGACGTCAGAAGCACCAAAGTATCAATGATATTTGCAATGTTGCCGGACGTTCCGCATCAGTTGAAATAACATTCTTTCGATTTATTGTTGATGATCATGCAACACCTCATTTCATTTATCTCTCCAAATTCGGAAACTCGCAGTATAACGTCACTGCAATATTTTTCTGTTTTCACGTTCATTTTATTTCCCTCTTTCCTGAATGCTTCAAGGCGCCTCTGAACCATAATACTGTGCATAACTTTTTGTGTGGTGTTTGTTGGATAACTCAAGATTTTATAATAGGTACTCTTCTTATTAAAACTTTTTTATGTGCTTTTATTTTTCTCCATTTTTCCATGCTGGCAGTTAGGTTACTCTCTAAGTAATAAAGTTGTACACACTAATCCAATTTAGGCCATATATCTAATTCAATTTTGATCATTCCATGTATTGAAAGTATTTGATACATACATTTTTTTTCAATAATCCAAATAATCACCTCTCAAAAACATAAGCACTAATTGTGTTTTAATGTTCAACAATCGATGAAAATATTTTTACATTGACTTTTTTTTCATCTATTGGAGAGCACGAAAGGAAATTCCTATAATGTTCGTGGAACATCCCTATGAAGGATAGGGAGAGACAAGTTTGGGTTAGTTCTTCAAAATAATGAAATGGGTTTTTTCAACTGAAACAGGCCTATTCTGTTTCATACATAATCAATAAATTCTGGATTGATAAATTTTATGAAAATTTCCGGAACTGCATCTTAGAGGGACTATCAACGATCTGAGAATTCATGATGAGAATTGAAAAATTTTGGCCACTGCCACAAATAAGTTCACAAATCATTTATTTCTCTTTTTCCGCTCCCACAGGATCCGATGTCTTTGAACCTGCTGGAACAAAAAACAGCCAATTAAATGACAAACCCACTACAAATATTTTCAGTTGCATTGCACGAATAATATGGACCAAAATAATGAGTTCTTCATTGCATATATTCCATGCGCTCTCTGAACAAAGACAACTTTTTGTATATCAATTAGGTAACGATTTGGAATTCAGGACATCGAAAGATATATTTTTTTGAATATACGTGTTTGTATCTGAATGCAGCCGGACTGATGACATATCTTAGTCGTTATTTCGTGAAACAACGAAATGATTAAGTAAATGAATACTTTCCTCTACGATCACCTAGGAAATAAATAACCATAGCATTATTCGCATTAGGAAATTGGCAACAATGTGTCTAAAATTTGATTTGTGTGCATCTGTACCAGATGCTAAAGCTTTAATGCCGCCTTCTATGTTCTATCTATGGCTCAAAATTCTACTGTGAATGAAACACTACCCTATACCTACACGGAGAAAAATAATTCGTTGATTCCACACATCACCCTACACTGAAAATGCATGCTTGCAATACTCGCAGAAATGGTCAAAGTATTTCTGTGACATATTCGCAATAAAAAAATTCTCATGTATTGACCACTTTGGGTTTCACAGTATCTAATAATACTGAAAAATAGGAATATACATATACCGCATATACATAATATATCCTCCTAAAGGCATACTGGGAGAAATCTAGTCCGAAAATCTGTCAACACCTGCCGGTCTATAGTTTCAAGGGTTTGCTATAACCTCTTAAGGTCCCATGTTCCTATAATAAGGAACGCGAAAAGAAATGCCTATAAATGTTTCATAAAATCAACACTTTCTATTTTTTTTTTCAATAGACCACTATTTCCAAACTGGAACAACAGAAATCTTTGCACTAATTCCATCACTAGCAATACCAGTCAGACGAACTCCACAGGATCAGTCCGCACATCCTTTCGTTGTCACCCTTGAAAGATGTCGAACAACACTCTACCAATACTCGTTCGTCTATAGAACGGCAAAGCTTTGGAATTCTTTGCCAGCGGAAGTATTCCCAAGAACTTATAATCTCCAAAAAAACATCCAATACTTACCTCCTCTCCCTATCGTCCTCAGGTAGGTACGCACGATGTTCTACGGACATTATAGAGATTCTCTTTCGTGCTCTCCAAAAGATAACAAATTTACAAATTCAGTTTTAGCGGGAAGCCTAGGTTTCGTATCTGGGAGTTGGGTGAAATGTGCCCAGATTTCTGGCTTTCGAAGACCTACTAGATTAGATTAGATTTAGAATGGGGCCTTCGGGCTATCTGCCTCCACACCGCGACCTTTTCAGATCTATTGTGTCTGCCCTCAAAATCGATTAGAGTTCTTCGGCTAGCCCCGTCTTCTCTATGAGACTCCATAGGCTAGCTTTCAGATCCCCTGTGTATCTCTGGGCTTCTGGTTTTTCCTCACCCAGCGTAAGGAACCTTAGTCTTGACAAGCCCTCACAGTGGCAAAGTATGTGTACTGCTGTTTCCTCCTCTTCCTGACAGAACCTGCACAGCAGTTCTTCAGTCAGACCTATCGTACTCATGTGTTTGTTGAGCCTACAATGCCCTGTGAGAAGTCCCACTAGTATTCTAGTTGAACTTCGTTTCTGGCTTAGTAGATATTCTGTGAATGTTGGCGATGGTTTTTTAATAAACTCTTTTGCCTGTCTCATTCCTGGCGATTTGTTCCACCATTCTTGAGATTTGGTTTGCATCCATGATTTGATACTAGTCTTTTGTATAGCTTTCGCAATACCACAGAAGGGTTCTGGGCCATTCAGAGCTTTGTTTGCTCCTGCTCGGGCAAGTGAGTCTGCCTCTTCATTGCCCTCGTACCCTGTATGTGCTGGTACCCATGCTAGAGTCAGTCTGTTCTGACTGCCCAGTGCATTTAGGGTTTCTAAGCAGTCCCATACTAGTTTTGAGTTAACTTGCATAGAGTTGACTGCTTTGATTGCCGCCTGGCTATCTGAATAGATTGCAATGGTTTTGCCTTTAAACTCTTGCCTTATCAATTCTTTCACGCAATGATGTATTGCAATAATTTCTGCCTGAAACACCGTCGCGTATTTACCTAAGCTCAGTGAGATTCTTGTCTTTGGCTTGGCCCCATAAATACCGGCTCCTGATCCAAACTCAGTTTTGGAGCCGTCCGTATAGACAGCAATGTCTGCATTGATAGGAGGTCCTTCCTTCCATGCCTCTCTGTCCGTTATACTTATTTTAAAAGTTTTTTCAAAGCTATATTTTGGAATTATGCCATCCGTTGGCATTCCCATGATGGGGTCGCTTTCCAACTACCTACTAACTACCTACTAATGGATACCATACTTTATCTGTTCTTCAGAAATGTTCAAAAAAGGTGATCTACTTGGATAACAAAGATAACTCGTTTCTATATCCTTCAATCTTGATGGAGATTATACAGGACATGTTTTGAACTCACATGAGATCATCTACAGGCCAGGCGCGTATACAGCTTTGTCCCAAGGGGAGGGGGGGTTAATTCGTGGGGCGCGGGGTTTACAGAAAGCAAAAAAGCACCGCAGACGAAATTATTTTGCTGTCAAGGTCAAATGCTTTTAAATTGAAGACCATAAATCGCGCCATTTCCACATATTAAATACTTTTCTTGAAATAGCAAGCAAGAAAAATTACTAAATACCATCAAATATTTGTTTATAATTTTGGTTGTCATGCTTTCAATTGTAAAGTTTTCGTTTTGTCACTGGAGAAGTTAGGGCAAACTTTTTTCGCTGTCATAATGACACAATCACAGCGGCTTACGAAATTTCATATATTTAAATTAAATTATCAAAATGAGAAACGATCCTGCACGCTGCAGTTTTAGCATTTTTCAGATTTTCTCCGATCGACTGAGGGAGGGGGGGAATTACCCCCATTAGCCCCCCCCCTTTGTATTCGCACCTGCTACAGCCTAACTTAATGGATAGAAAGTATTACAAAACGTCTGAAAATATCACATGATGAAAATTATCTAACAATGGATGGTTGGGAGTACAATAATGAGGAAAAAACTGTTTTGTGAATTAGTATTATATTAATTTCATTTCTGTGGGTTGTTTACGTTCTCTGTATACTTATAGTGAATGAATAATATTGAAAGTCCGATAATTTGAAATAACCCAAAACACATTTATTACCAATATTACCATACAAGGCGTTCTCAAAGGTGGGCCATCTCTTTTAAAGGTTGATGCAAAATAACGGAGTTATCAACAATTGAATATTTTACGAATGTGTCCATTCTTGCGAAACCATTGATAACTTTTTGAATGGAGGGTTTCGAAATGGAACCAGGAACCACTGTTGCTTTTCAATAGCTGCGCAGTGTATTATCTTGAAATTCACGTTTAAAGCAAATAGAATAAATGATCGGTTATATCCTTGTATCAGTCGTACTTGGAAAGTTTCAAGTCTTATATAATATGTACTTACACACGTAAGAAATACCTGCCTACTGGAGACTAACTTGTTCTTTTCTTTATTTCGCGAAACCCATAGCGTAAAGCAATGTTCAAGAACGCAGTTCCAAAACAAAGGAATTTCAAGTCCAATGTATCATAAAATTTCACTAACTTATGGTAGGTCATGAATGGTACTTCAAGTGCCTTCAAATTATTGGCAATATTAATTTCTCTTTCAGATTCATGGTTCATCTCACTTCTGACGCTGGATGAAATATGATAGGCCGTTTCTGGAAAAAGCATTTCGCTCTGCGGCAGATTTATCCGTTTCACGAGAACCCCATCGTATTCGTGACATGTCAGGTATGTACACATTTTATATACTTTGCGACATACAATTCATTTAAAAAAAAAAACGTAACCAGTATTATTGGTATCGCGACTTTCCACTGATTTATAATAACCAAATCTGTAATAAACTGTTGGACACGTCATGGTCCACCCGAAAAGGTCAATCAAGTTCAACATCCGATATACTGGGTGTACCAACACCATTTCTACAGGTATCTTCTCGAAAACGATGGGTCGTCGAAGGGTGGTTTTGGATAAACAAGGTTGCTAGATCGAATCCCCGGCAGAGCAGATAATTTTTATTCATAAAACGAGTTATGAATTATAATTTTCGTTGCCTTGGCCGGAGTTTAACTTTAGCTTCTAGGAAGTAAACAGGATGTACTAGGTCATCAAGAATAAACAATATTGTTTTGGTTGCTTATTTGGGTTGAGACGCATACCTGATTTGTTCCCTATTTCGGCAGATTTGGCATAGCCATGCTGAAGATATAAATACACCATATTATAGTCAAGTATTTTTGTTTCGATCAGGAAAGCCTTCAAGAATGACATACTTGTTTGGATCTGATTGATTGGATAACTTGTTTATGAATAATCACGGCCAGCAATACTTTTTTGTCTCACACAACGATATTGTTTTCTTCATTTGCTTACTGAGCCAAACACAGTGGAATATAGAGAGAGAATAAATAATCGCTATTATTATTGTTGATATGCTCACTAACATTTTCCACTTCTTTTTCTATGCCTGGCACTGGCGCGGTATTTGCTAATAGGGCTAAGACCTGGTCCAAATCATGTCCAAATGAATTCATCGATTCAATAGAATACACAAATGGGTCACTCTGTGGTTGTATTTACATTGAAACTACAATTCGAACAACCTTGAAATTGAATAAACCTGATCTGTAAATGCAGGTTGAAAATTCTCCCCACACGGATTATTTGTTGCATTGCATACATATTATGGGACGGCATCTGATGATGCATGTCAACACAAATTGTAACAAAGTAAAGTCATCGTCCACCAATATTCTAATGTAAAGTAGTCTTGCTTCTATCTACTTACCTATATTATTATAATAAAGGTATTATTAATCTGTCAAGTAAGTCACATTGGAGGGTGGTTACTTCACATATTTATTTTAGTTAATTCTTTAGGTTGCAGAAAAAATAGCAAAGTGTCACTTTTGATCCTAATAAAACAATCTACGATTAGTGTGTGGCAAATACGGGAAAATGCAGATATTTTGCTGAAATGCAGTCCTGTGGCAATTGGGCACATAAATCGTGTGCTCATATACTGAAAAGAAATTGTTTACTTGTGATTATTGCATTATTATATCGAATTACTTTTTTGGGGACATTGTGATCATCTGCCAATATTACCCCAACTACCTGGGGTAATAGTAGCCATCCATTTTTTTTATTCTGTGAAAAAAATGTCTTCCTTTTTTTTGGAATATTCACCAAATTTTCATCAATCTCATCATCTATTTGTTCCCTCGTTTGTTGTGATCAATTGCTATAAAATAATCTACTTATAGAAAAAATGCTTAGGGGTTCACCATTTCCCCGCTCTCCCCATCCTTGTTATCGAGATACCTAGCTGTGATCATGTTGGTCGATCTGATATTATGAGACTACTTCCAAGATTACATTCTCACTTTTTCGAAACTTTGTATCGTAGTTCCTGTTTGAAGATCATTTTTATCTGTAACGATCTAACCTGTCAATTCATTAAATCAGATTGAATCGAAAAATAATCTATGAATTTCGTGATTACAACACATTATTATCAAATATTTATGCTGTCACGCTAAATCAATTAAGCATCTACATGTATTTGAATACATTTCAATGTAATCCTCGATCTTTCAACAGTAGAGACTGCTTTTCAGATGTTAAATAAGATGGTGGCACTAGGTGGATTTTGTCGATTTTTTTCCAGTGGCAGCGTAACAAATCCGAACCGAACCTCAAATACTTAGTATATCGTACCATCTTGACACTATTTTTCATCGTACCTTGGGCAATATCGATAGACAGGGAGAGTGGCCACGGAAAATGGCCGATTTTCCTTACCAACTGGGGGTTCACTCTGTGCACCACTCAAGCAGTGATTGGACTGTTTCTTCTGGTGTCTTGTGTACTGGCAAGGCAATCAACGAAGATGCGGAGATTTCAAGCGATAGCCCTCAGGCTGTATCCGACTTACTGGGTTTTGAATACTTTGGCAACCTCCACGGCATTCGCCATTACAGTCGTTTACTGGACCAAGGTGTATAATGGTGAGTTCTATATTTGTAACTAAGTAACGTAAGTAGATAGATGTATAGAAAGTCATATGGTGTTATCACTTCCTATTGAAAGGAGTTTCGAAATCTCTCGATATCGCCTAGGTACTTTGCTAAATTTCCGAAGTTTCAAACCAAATTTACAGGCAAAAACATTAAATTGAGTTCACAATTTCATTGTCAGAATTTTTTTATGTAAATAGAAGTGGTGCTTTTTTTGGACTTTCAATGGTGAATTCATGAAAGACACGAAGTCCTAACTCAAGAAAATCCTGTGATAATAGTTTATTTACTCACTTTTGGTACATAAAATAAATCGAATACACATTGCAGCAGTCAGTCCATGATGAAAGCACAATACACTCACTGAAATAATAATATAATATCAAATATCTGCCTAATAAACTACTAATGCTCTTAGTTTATAATATTTTTATTTGAAATTGGAACAAAATTTAGAATATGCTGGAAACATGACACTCGTGACAGATATGTCACGATCAAGATGTTCTCACATTTGTTGCGCCCTGTCTCTTCTGCGTCCTGTCTCTAGATTCTTCTTATCATAGCCACTATTGAATTCGTACATCATCAACGGGACTCTTCAGGTCCCGAAAGAAGGGAAAAACATCATTGAAAGTCTAGTTCAACTCCATAAAAAGTTTCGAAACGCATTTTGAGATTTTTCAAGGAATTGTCCATCGTTCACGCCATCTATCATCGAATATGAGAACCCCACGTTCCTAACTTGCATTCAATTGTTCATATCGAGAGCTAGTCTGACGAAACAATTGAAGAGTGGGCACACCAGAGGAATTATAAACATCTCAGTAAGTAGTCTATAGTGCTCAAAGTGGAGTGGTAGAAGTTGAAGAGAGGAAAATCAATCTCAAAGTCACATCTCCACTGGTATGTATGTGTTATCTAGGCTGAGGGGTACATGTTTCGGACTTATAGGAAGTCCATCATCAGCCGATGTAAGGGTTAAAGTGCTCAACAATATATGAAATCAAAGAAACTAGTTACCAGTGAATAAATTACAATGACGTTGAGTTTATACTGATATAAAGTTGATAAACAAAAAAATATAAGTACTAGAATGAGTTTGAAACACAATTTTTTGAAGAGTTTTCAAGATGGTGAAATGAATCACCAACACTTCGGCCTACCAGCCAGCACGTGAGGCAAAAATAAATGAGAGCAAGAGGTTATCTGAAAATTGTCACAGTGCAAAAACATTCAACTTCAAATATCGACATAATACAAAAAATTGAACAATGACCGAAAAGTGACGAATATACAAAACGCGATGAAGACCAAGATAAGAAAAACAAAGGCTTACTAGGGAAAAATTCACTGTTTATCTAGAGTTGAGGGAATTGAAGAATCAATCAAAATGAATCTGTTTAGAGAAATGGTGTTTTTTAATCGCTTGATGCGCATGAAAGAGAATCCCTACAAAGTTCGAAGAACATCGTGCGTACCTAGGTAGGTGTTTTTTTTCAATTTTTGGAGATTATAAGTTCTTGGAAATACTTCCTCAAGCAATAAATTCCAGAGCTTTGCCGTTCTATAAAGAAACGAGTTTTGATATAGTGCTGTTCGACATATTTCGAGGGTTGACAACGAAAGGATGTGCTGACTGCGCTTGTCGAGTTCGTCTGACTGGTACTACTAGTCGTGGAAGTATCCATAAATGATTAATCTCCTAAACGTCCAATAAATTTCGTAGAGTGCCTTTTTTGGCAAATATGTAGGTGTGTATCTAAGTTAAACGTATGTTGTGAGTTTAGCCTATGATTAGTAAATGAACTTTTGGTATTGTATCCATCAATATGTATTGTTCAAACAAAGTGTAAGGTTCAATACATCGGTTAAAGTGGTGTGAGAATTATTACCAGAGTAACTGAGCATGCAAAACTTATTGAAAGATCAAGAACACCTTACATCATGTAATAAAAAGTCGTGGATATGACCTTGAAATTGTTTTTTCTGCAATCGACCTAAAAGTCGTCCATTTTTGTTCCAAAAGTACCCTTGAAGTTGTCGTTTCTCTTACTGATACAATAAAATGATAAGTATGTATGTTGCTAGGCAACACTTTTGATGTTTATTGGAGCTATAGTTGAAGTTTAACTTCTAGGAACTAAAAGTATGTCGGATGACAGCTGATATGATAGCTGCTTTGACACTGACATGCTCAAGTGAGTCAAAATAGTGGTTACTTCACTGATATTTTAGAAAAAATGGCATGTTTCGTTCGGATCAAAAGTGACTCGCAAAATTTGCGTGCTGGGCTTCGCCGTCGCTCCGCCTCGCAGACAATTTCGCTTGTCAAACAAAGTGTCACATTTGATCCTGATAAAACAATGTACTATTCCTCTCCTCACATTCAGGGTGGTCCACCAAAAGAAAAGTTGTAAGAAGCTTTGTTTTCTGAGATATATGGCGATCGAATTGAGAATAAACGTGAAATTATCTTTATGAGCTATCGTTACGACAAAACTGTTAGGTGGATATCTATTATGGTTATCCAGTAATCTGAACGGGTGTCTTGAATGAACTATCCGACACCTACACCAACATTTTTAGTCAAATTAGGTTTTTCCGTTTTCGCTCGAAAACGGTGCATCCTATCTACACCGAAACAAGAAGACATTTTTTCCAACGACCCAACTGGTATTAGCTAAAAAATACTACTATGATTATCGTGGATTATCTCTTGATGATAGTATTGCTAGATGTAAATAGCATGAGTATTTGATGATCTTCAACTTTCCATCGCTTATTCAAACATAACTCTACCTATTATTTTTTTATGTAACCATGACACAGCATGGCTTTGTCACCAATATTATGTTGAAGACCTACATAGTTATTCTAATCAATAATAAAATATGTTTACATATACATATTAACTCTTAAATGATAACAATACCTATAAACCTACATCACACTACATAATATGTTTGCTTACAGATACATTATATCTTGTATTTTTCTTAAGTGGTTTAATACTATAAGAAGAAGAAGAAATAATTTTCTTTCAGCTTGAACACCCACTATTTCGAAAATGAAGCGACACTTTGCTACTGAATAGTGCCACTTTGCTATCCCACAATGAACTATATATTTTTACCATAAAATTAGTGAGTTGTTTCTGACAACCATTTCTTGGGGAACCCAGGAATTTACGAGGGAATGTCAGTCTCAAACCTAATCATGTTCTACTTTTTTTCGAAAATATCTATTTCGGATAGTAACGATTGTTATTATATTAGGTTAGGTAATTTGCCTTTTCATTCGTTATTCATTCGCCATACTTCATCATTCATTATTCATAATCTATGTGAACAGAACATCACAAAACATTTTTTATGATTCAGTCATTATGTTTCAGTATTCGGGCCATAATGAAGATTTCGCGATGTATACGATCCTGTCACTTCATATGGACAATCGAAATCACTTAGTTAATTTTTTATGGCCCTCTAAATAACCATAACGATTTGAAATTTCAATATATAAAACGAACATCTCATTTTGAGGAGACTATCAAAATACCAGATTTTTTATAGTCCTTTCTGCCAATATGAAGTCGCCCATAAAAATGTGGAGTTTTAAAAACCAACGTCACAATCATGTTCATTTAAAAGGTATACAAGGAGATAGCATCTGAATATTAGTAACTCATGAGGCTCAGCATATGACATTGAAAAGGTCTGTAAGCTTAAAGAAAGTGAGAGTTTTTTCGAATTGATCATAACGAGAGACTATAATTCAGTTTTCCCGCTCATGTCACTATAGCGTCTAGGACATTACTGATATTTTTGCGTCCAACTACCCCTAGGGCTTTTAGTATGTAATAGTAGAGGAGCTGATGTCAGGAATAAACGACCGATCTGCACAAGTTTCGAATGTCACTCATATGCGAGAACAACATCTACTATTTCAAACTCAAGTTTCTGCCACCCCAAATCGGTCCTATATAGTTAATAAACAATAATCAATATTTGAAAATAGCGGAGTAATTTGAACGATCTGCACAAACCCCAAAATGTACATGCTGTTTCTTTCCACCAGAAGAAACCATACCAAAGTATTCTGCCAAGTCTGACTGGTCGGAAAATCGGTCTGCAAGGGTTTTTTACAGAAAAATGTTCACCAATCTGCACAAGTTCCAAAATGGCAAGGACGAATTCATAATGTTAATCCTATAATACCAATCTATTATAAATTCACACATTACGTATAATATTATTCTATGGGGAGGAGCCACTGAAATAAATAGAGTATTCATAGCGCAGAAAAGGGCCATTAGACTTATATTTAACTTGAAAAAAACTCATGTAAACCGTACTTCAAGAAACATTCATTATTGACTGTTCCGTGTTGTATATTCATAGCTGGGTATGCTATATTAAACGAAATATAAAGTTTTTAACCAGGTATTGTGACAATCACCGTTACCAAACAAGGCCTGTAATAAAATAATTATCCCGAAACATTCGACTAGCCTATATGAAAAGACTCCTCTGGCTGGAACAAAATTATTTAATCTGAAAGATATACAAGCATACAATATATAGTGGCATATTCTTTTATATGAATGAAGTTCAAAACTTGTGCAGATCGTTAGACTTTACTGACTTCAGCTTCCCTACTATAACCAATTGCGCGACTCATCATAGCTCCAATGAGAGCTTACTTCATTGGAATCCACCATAGGGATGATGTTCATAACTCCCTAGAAAGTGAGTTCTAGCTTTGTTCTTGTATTGCTCGTGTTTCACCTCATCCTCAATCGCACGATATCTTTCACTTTCCGTGCTTGTTATAAAATCAACTATTTTCAGTGGATACCATGAAGTTAGATGAAATGAACTATTTGGTACACGGAAATAACTCAGTACTGATGTTCATCGATTTATGGATGGTTTCCCACCCTGTAAGGATCCTACATGTCGTGTACACCATAGTATTTGGTTTCACTTATACGCTTTTCACTTTGATCTATTATTCTGCTGGGGGAACAAGTAGGTGAGTCCAGTCAAAGTTTTTGTGATATATATATTTTCAATATCAAGAATGGTGGAGATGGTGGAGTACGTCTGGAATTAATATATTGAGCCAAGTACTCAGTTTTCAAGTGCTATCAACAGGTCGAATTATCGAAAAAATCTCCTCCAACAATCGCTCGCCCCTATTAGCAACCCTTTATTCTATATATGATGACATTTTCGTACTATCGATTTATTGAAAAACAAAAAGTTCGATATTTTGATCAATAGATTAAATATATTGAAATTATCACCAACCTATCGAATACAGTAGAAATTTTGATTATATCCCAAGTAGCACACATATATTGGGACAATATTGGTGCAATATTACGAAAATATCGGCAAAATATTGTGAAAGTAATATTGGCGAGAAAAAAAATGTGAACATTCGGCGATATTGGTACAATATCAGTTTCCAAATGTGGGTAGAATATTCTCATATTAATATTGGTTGAATATTCGTAGAGTAATATCGGACACAAAATGTAATATCAATATTGGCGAGAAATTAATGGTGAACATTCGGCAATATTGGTGTAATATATGGAAATATCGGTGAATCATTGGAAATCATCATGAAGGTATGTTGTCTCAGAAATATTGGTTGAATATTCTCATACCAATATTGCTGGTATATTCGTGAAGTTATATTGGTGCAATATTGGTTGGGAATATTGGTACATTATTGAAAATCATTATGTAGCTATGTTGTCTTCAAAATATTGGTGAAATATTTTCATCCCGATATTTGCGAGTTATTCGCATCAGGAATAATCACAAAGGTCAGCCCAGCCGGAGTGCAATGGGAGGGCCTTGCCCTAGGGAAGCCGCCTTGTTGATCACGGTTAACCCCTACTCCAGGTTATAATACTTCACAATCGTCTAGAGCCAATATTTAAATTCTCTCGTCGGATCGGCAATGAGAGTACGTTACCAATCATTTATAGCGCCATCTATCGACATCGGTTTGGGAGTGCGTAATATGGAATAAATATCGAAATTCCGATATCGATATGTATTCTCAAAACAATATGTGAACAATATTGCTTACATGATATAGTGAATCACATATCAGCCAATATAAGATGATATTATTTTCTGAATATGGCTAGAAAACTATTCACCCGATATGCAATTGAACTTGAAAATACAATATTGTTTTTCTCTTTTATGTCCGATATGTCGAGAATGTTCAAATTGCAATATTGGTTGTAAATGTCGGGAACAATATGTATACGATGTTGTTGTATCGACATTCGTAAAACAATATTATATAACATTCATGGATATGTTTTTCGACACATTGTTAACGAATTTTACAACCAATATTGCTCCAATATTGTAGCTGACAATCCATATTCAGCTCAGGTTGAACCAATATTCCACCAATATTATCATTCCAATATTGTTTGTCCAATATACTCTCATATTGGACCTATATTTTTTTTCACATGTACGATATATCTATATCGGCCCAATATGAAATCGGGTTCCAGCCAATATGATGTGCTACCTGGGATACGTCACTGACAGAAATTTTTGAATTAATTCATAAATATACAGGGTGATTGGTTCGCCGACGTATATCTGGAAGAATTGAAGTGGTGGGTAATGTAATTTTGAACATATTCAACAATATATACTATTATAAAATGTGTTAAACTTCCCGATAAATTATCTCTTATTTTTTCCTAGCTGGATGTTTCAGTAAATCGTTTTTCAAATTATAACGAGTCAAAACATTTTTTATCACATTTAGATCCCATTACGTGTTCAATATCGATCAAAAACGTATTGAAAAGTTTGACAAAATTCATCAAATTCAGTAATATTCGGAAAAATGATGATATCTCGAGAAGTCGAAATGCATAACCCTTTGTGTAATATTTTATATGGTAAGATATGTTCAAGATGTCCTTACCTATCACTCCTTATACATATATATATTTATATATATACGTCGGTGAACCAAATACCCTCTATTATGGTTTATGTGGCTCACACTGTATATACGGAGTCATTCAGGCTAGGTGACCCCCCGTAACTTTGTCATGGAATTACAATCAAATACACTTGACATGATATCTACAGCAGGGTGTCTAGAGTCAGTATATGGCCAAACCTCGTGGAATATTTTTTTGACTGGTTTTGAGTTTGAAAAGTTTATTTGATTATTGAACCGATCTTGAAATCGGTTTTTCGTAAATATCGTGAAAAACTCAATCTGTTGGAACTTGGTACTCAGAGTTGTTGTGACAAAAGCCTAGGGAAGATTCTCCTTAACAAAATATGGAAAAAGCTCAACATGGGTCAAAAGAAATGCTACGTTTCCAAGTAAAAAAAAAGAGTTTCTTATTAATATCTTGAAAACGTTCGAGCCGATTTGAATGAAATGTTTATGCGTACATTTACACGATTACGGACCAATTAGATTTGATCCAGATTTCCAGGGGCGTACACATCGAGTAAGATAATGAGACTCTCGCGGGCACCACTGAGGTGGCGCCATCCCCACGAAAGATACAAACTAACATAACATTTGATATGGTCATTGAAAAACACCCCTAGATACCAAATTCCATTCCGATATCAAAATTATTTTGAAATTTATTACCAAAAAACAAAAATAAGAATTCAACTTTGACACTCTGTATCTCAGAAACGAATAACTTTCGGACATATATGCTCCTTGATTTTCTAATTCGTCTTGATTTTCCCTATTCACCATTTGGCCTCATGAATCACCCTATATTAATAAATATTGTTTTCAGGGATGGTTCTCGCTGTATTTATAAAATAGTCGATTGGGACAAACCCCTTCCCACTTCCCTAACATGTCTAGGCGTCATAGTGTTTCTTGTTGTTCTTCACATGTTGGCAGTTTTGGTTGCGGATATGCGAAGAAGACTAGATGAGAAATGTTGCAGCAAGGAGCAAGACACGCCTCCGATGTCATCAGGATCGAAGAGTCAAGCTGCATATGTAAATGAAGGAATGTCAGTTGATATAGTTTGATGACCTATCTGTACGTTGTAACGCAATTTTTAAGTCATGGATTGTCGGAGTGAAAGAACGAGAACGATGTAACAGAATTTTTTCCGAAATCTTTAGCTGTTCAGATTTTTTTGGAAAAAGTATAGTTTATCGATCACGCTGTAAATTCGAACCAAATTCTCGGATGTCAGTTTTCCTGGTTTCTGAAGGTCCATCAGTTATAAAATGGAGATGTTACTCAAAATAAACTTAATTCAAAACATTGGTGCCATCGACAGAAGCATATAAATTTCTTTATCAGAAAACTGCTAATTTTTATAATCGACATTCAAATTCAAGGTAAGGTTCTATACCTATATTTATGATAACATCATCATATTTTGAATTTATGGTTATTTCACCGATGAAAAATTCAGGCAAGACCAGTTGGCCAGTTGAATATCTCTTGAGTATTAAAAATATGATTTTTCCTTAAATGCAGGCGTGCATAACTGCATACAGCTTTGTAATTCGGGAAGCGGATGTGATAGAAAGCAAAAAAAGCGCCATACTAGAACGAATGGGATTAAATACTAGTTACGCGTTGAATGAAATAATATATGATTTATTTTGTTAATCTTGATGTTAATTTTGATTGAAACACAGAGTCTTCGATCATCTGGGGGGGGGAGGGGGGTAATTAACCCCCATTATGAACGCGCTTGCTTATATGGTATAGTCGATCCAAAGTCAGTTCATAATATATGCGCAGGACTTCAGGACTCGTCCAAAAATATAAAAAACTGTCTCTATTACCTTTCCCTCTGAAATGCACTATTTTCGAGATACAGGGTGTTGAAATTTAAAAAAAAATATCGTTCTCTGCGAATATCTCTGGAACCGTTTATCGCACAGAAAACAGATTTTGTGAGCATTTTCTACTCATGATAAGCTACGTTCAGTCATAATTGGTGAAGATTTTGAAAGGGTAGTAAGTGTTTTCTTCCCCAACCTCTACGCCACTGGAAAAAGTACAGTTTTGAGCCACCCATTTGAACCGCCCATGTTTTCCACACAAAAAAAGATACCCTTGGTCATAAGCTCTTAAGTTGACCGTTTTCGGGAAACTCAGCTTTCATGTTGAAAATCATGATTAATTTTTTCCAATAACAATAATGGGGAAGACCACTGAGAGAAGAAATCCGTGCAAACCTCTTTCAATCGACGAATAATGATTTACGTTTGAGGTACAATCAATATTATGAGTTAAAGTTGAAGGGAATCGAAGCTATATCGTTTTGAAATCAGCATATTTCATTCGATATTTCAAACAGCCAAATATGATGGTGGAGTCGTGACGTATTAGTCCCGAACTGTAGTTATTTCTCTCTGATACATCGTCATTCTGCAGTGTTGCAGTGGGATTGGTCAGTTCAAGGACAATAGGCGTGTTGGGAATAAGACGTCGCACCAGAAACACCAATGAATCGACAAAATTTCAAATGGCGCAGGAATTGTGTGTTTTGAAATGGACATATTCTAATTTATTTTTCTCATCGTCTTAGCATGAATGACAGAATTCAAAATTAATTCGCTGGTAGTTTTCCAGTATAGAGTTCACGATAATGTCATTTTAAAAAATCCGTGGTCTCCCCCATTAATTTACCTGAGAATGATTTGTTGATTTTTTTTCATTTTGTAATATGAAGTTGACGTTTGGTTTTGTTACTGGTCCAAAAGTTTATATAAATTTTGTTTAATTAGAAAAAAAAACAATTTTTTTTTCAAAAAAATTACTATGATTTTCAACATAAAAGTTGATTCGTCCCGAAAACGGACAATTTTAGAGCTTATGATCAAGAGTTTATTTTTTTGCCGTTCAAATGGACTTTTCCCAGTCGCGTAAAAGTTGGTGTGGAAACTACTCACTACCCTTACAAACTCTTCACCAATTTGGACTTTTAAAAAAATAAATTCCGCACTAAATATAGCTTATTATGAGTAGATAATGCTTACAAAAGCTCTTTTCAGTGCGATAAACGGTTCCAGAGATATTCGCAGAAAACGATATATTTTTCTCAAATTTCAACGCCCTGTAAGTATCTTGAAAATAGTACATTTCTGAGGGTGAGTTGATATAAAGATTTTATCATATGTTTTGACGAGCTATCACATCCTGAAGTCCTGCGCATATATTATGAAACACCCTGTATAGGAACGCAGAGTGGTTTCGCTTCATTTGAAGTTCGTTTGAAGTCCGTGCACTTCTGGCAGACATTCACAGATTGGGTGTTTTCAATTCAAATTTTTTTCCACGCCCTGTATGAAGAACATCAATTCATTGTGCAACTGACATACGCTCCAACTGACTTTGGATAGACTATACTATATACTACCATACTACGGAGTACGGAGTTCACGTTATTTTTTTATACGAGGATTACGAGGGTCGTAAGAACAGCTAGAGGAACCTAACATATATATTTCCACATAATTGTAAGGTTTCGGTCAATCATTATTTCATTGGCTAGTATGACTAGTATAACAAAGGAATGATATTTGGTTCAAGAAGTATTCAACTGTGCCCCCAGAAACACGCTTTTTATAAATATTTCGATTTTGTTACTTCAAGTTTCGCTTGAAATCTTGTCATCGAGATATACATATACAGGCTGATTCAAAATTCGATATATATACTGGATTTGCATACGTTCTTAACAATGAATAGACAGAGTATATACCTATTTACAGAGAAGTCTTATTTTGATCTAACAATACGTCCTTGAAATATCTACGCCGAATTTTGACTGACCCTGTATATATACCAGGGCAATGCAAATGTTGAACAAATTTGTGTGATACATTTAACTATATATTATGGTTAAATAGTTCGTGTTCCTTTATCAAATTTCTAGTTTTCTAGTTATTCTAGAATAATTTATCATCTTTACCTAGCTCAAATATTATTTTTGTACCCAATAAATGTTATGAACATGAAGATGTACATTACAAGTATTTTATTTCCATTCATTACCAATCTTTCGAGAATGACCACAGGGAACAATTGCTCAGGTAGACAAAAAAATCATTAGTCACCGTAGTAGACAAAATTCCTTCTTTTAACCTTGCCACTCAACACCTACTTATCTTTGCATAAAAATTCCGCTGTGTTAAAAACGCGATATTCGGTAAATATGCTTCTAGAATCTTCCATTGCATTGGGCTGATACTGCTGATAGACTTAGATCAATGACCTTTTGGGGTATACCTACCTCTAATAAAACTCGTTCTCTCTCTTACTACCCTCCTTCTTTTATCACAATATAGAGTTGAATTTCACGAAGAGCAAATGCTAGGTTATAGTATTGCTAATTTTGAAAGTTTTATTTACTATATCATCCCCAAGCCGGTATTGCATGCCAGAATTCATGCGAAAGGACCCTATTTGGGTGGCATTCAAGGAGGGGACATTATTTTCAATGCACTCGCATGATGAGTTCAAATACTATCCAAACTAGTTTGGCACTATCTGCTCTTTGGAAAGCAACAATAAATTATCTGAGGAAGCATTAATAATTGGCTTGGTGGCACTATTTTGTTCAGAAGAAGCTACTACATGCACGTGGAGCTGTCACCGAGCGGACAAAACTATAGAAAGAAGATATAGACAGTCAAATGATGACGATATGTGCAAACAATCACTATCTTGGTGTGCCGATTAAAGACCACTGTCACATAAAACGTGATCTAGTCTAGACCGCTCATATCAAAGGACAAAATATCGAACTGCATCCTATGAAGCGTACGCCTTTAGACGAGAACACGAGAAATTAAATCAATGAATCACGTGATAGAATTTGGAAGCATGCTCATTCGTTTGGAGAAAAACTTGAAATCATAATTGGGAACCTGCTAGTCCTGAAATAATGGAAAAATATCCTTGATTATTAGGCGAATAAACACGTGGACTGACATCATGTTATTAGCAATCTAGAGTACAACTCCCTGACCAAGCTGGGCCTCCACATTTTTTGTTCAGAAATTCAAATAAAACGAATATTAACCTTTCACGTAATGGGATTCTTTCGGAAGATTCAGGCTCTCTTTCATTTGCATACCTATATCTTACTCTTAATCGACGACTCAAATCGATATCATGAAATAACAAAATGATAACATAACATTATAATTGTTTAAATTTGTTATGCTGAATCCTGAAATATTAGTTAATAAACTGCTTTGGGACAAACCGTTCACAACCAAAACGACGCTCCATAGTGCCTTGCACACTTTGAGCACTGAGAAGGAAAAAACTGTAAGGACATATATTTTATCCTGGCACAATAGTCCCAGTAAAGAGCCTGCCAAATAGGCTTTCGAACCTTACTCAGGAGATAGAACAAGTCAGCCAAGAAAGAATGAATGAACGAAGATGGTTAGGTTAGCTTCCATGTGTGTTGGGCTAATTAATACCGCAGTTCCGTCGTGACCTCAGATGGGTCAATTATGCCTCACCCCAAGAGGTTACGGTTCACTATACAATTAACTTCTTTCGGCAAAGTGAGGTGAGATATTCCTTAAACATAATTAATATGTTTCCAACCGTTTTGTCTTCCTCACAGCACAGCAAAAACGACAGCCTGTTCGTTGTTTCAGATCCATTCTTCCTAGGTGCAACATGGGCCAGGATATCAGAAAGGGCATAGAAAGGGCCACACTGGCCGACGATGTTGAGGACCATGAAAACCTACAACCTCCACTAAACAAGGGAATAGAATCTACTAATTTGGCAGCTCTATAAGCTAACTCAATGATACCTTCACAAAAAGGAAGCGAAATTATCCAATAGATCACAAGAATATTCGGGGAATGAACTATACTTATAAAGAATGCTGGGAAGAATACCTCCTCGGAGTCGTACTCAATCTAACGTTTATGATTACTCATAGCCCTGAGCTCGACGTGAGATTTACACACGGCATAGTTACCATAGAACTTACGTAAGCGTCAATAATAATACAATATGGGGCCCAGAAAAACTCGTTTTCGAGCATTTCTGCTTTTGTTTATAATCGATG